CCTTGGAAGCAAGAGCCACAGCCCAAGGAATGAGCCTTGCACCCACACGGGGATTGAGACCGAACCCCGATTGTCCAGTCCCAGCAACCACGCGTTCCTTTTTTATTATTTTTCAAGAAAGCTTTCTCTCGGGTTCTAAGCAAATTAAGCACTTAGGAGTTGCTGAGGAAGTACCAGCAGAAAGACACAAAATGATAGAACAAATCCACACAATCGCTTCAGCTCATAAGAGATGAAGACTTCCTTTCCACTTCTCAAATAAAAGAAATTTTCAAAAAAAAAGTCACCGTTATTTTAAAAAGCATATCAGGCAGGTTAAAGCACAACACGGAGCCAGCACTGAGGTACGGCCGGGCCAGCCCCTGCAGCGCTGGCACGTCACCTGGGCCCCTGGCTGCTCTTGCACTTCCTCCCTTTTTAATCTTTTACCTTTGTTTTTGATGTTTGCTCTGTTGGCCAGGGTGGGAAGGACTGGGGGTTAGCAAAAAGAGGGTGTGACCATTGTTTCCAAATTTCCTATTTCATCCTGCATCTGGGGCGGGGGACAGGGAAGCCATACCCAGCCTCCCGTCAGTACCCGGGACGGGGAACAGCCTCCCGATAGCAACCCAGGGTCCCAAGCGGCACACGCTCCAAGGGTTCTGCCCAAGTGGTTTCAATAGTTTTTTTTTTTTCTTTTTTGAAAGTCAGATATAAAGAAAGCAGGAAACAGAGAGGAAGATCTTTCGTCCGTTGATTCATTCCTCAAGTGGCCGCAATGGCCAGAGCTGCGCCAACCCGAGGCCAGAAGCTTCTTCTGGGTCTCCCACATGAGTGCAGGGTCCCAAGGTTTTGGGTCGTCCTTGACTGCTTTCCCAGACCACAAGCACAGAGCTGGATGGGAAGCAGGACTGCAGGGACACGAACTGGCACTCATATGGGACCCCAGCGCATGCAAGGTTAGGACTTTTTAGCCACTAGGCTACTGCACCAGGCACAGTTTCAATGGTTGTGAAATGCTGTCAATCTCACCGATTGAAGGATGAGGGATCCCTTCCAATCTCCACTGGCTGACACAGCCAAACCTAGAGCCTCCATTCACTCATATTTTCACTGTTATCGTTTGGCTTGGATAATTGTCCAATTTGCTTTTTCTCCTTCCTCTGCTCTGGTACCAGCTTTCCTCTGCAGGCCCCAGGGCACTGCCATATCCTCTGTGTATCCAGGCCTGCTGTCCGCTGCTCCGTCTTTTCCACTGCGAATGAGTTTTCACGGATGGGCCCAAGGCCCAGGCCAGGAGACCTGGGCCCTACTGAACCCCCGCCCTTAGGGCTCACGGACCACGTATCTGCTGCTGTGCCTGGAGGACACCGGAGGATGGCCCAAGTTCTTGGCCCCCTGCCATAGAGAAGAAGTTCCTGGCTCCTTATTTGGGCCTGGCCTGCCCCAGTCATTGCAGCCATTTGGGAAGTGAACCAGTGAATGCAAGATCTCTCTCTTCCTCTCACACCATAACTGTATCTCTCAAATAAATAAATCTTTTAAATATCACACACCACTCACTGCTCCTACCAGAATCCTAATCCCAGCCTCTAATACATGCTGTGTACAGTGTTCAAGACTAATGAACACAGAGTGACCCAGCCCAGGGACCACCGCAAGCCCACAGGGAGGGGCAGTGCAGGCACGATCGTCCTACTCCGAGAGGCCTGCCGGTCACATCCGAGAGCCAGGCTTTCACAAGAGGAGCTGGGAGCCATTTGGGAGGGCGAGCGTCAGAACATGGGGGGTGGAGGCTGAGCGCAGATCCGGCATGGAAGTTAAGACCCACTTACGAAGAGCAGGGGCGAGGAAGGAACCGGCTTAAAGGGCAGGCTCTGAGCTTCGTGTACTGAGTGTGTGTGTGTAACACAAAACCTCCTGCCCCTGAATAGCCCAGGGCAAGGGCTGCTCTCCGAGAAGTCGCCAAGTCTTCACAAACAGCTCAGTGCTTGTCACCAGAGCCACACCTGCCTGCTCATCCCTCCTGGGTTGGCCTCGGTGAAGTGCCCAATCCAGGGGTCTGCCTATCTCCAGGTGCCACTGGGTGCCTGCTTCCCCCGATACACATCTTGATTGCGGTGTTAATCAGTTACGGCAATTACCTGCTCAGTTACTGGTCTCCTCCCAGACGCCGAGGTCAGGGACCTGGACCCAGCACCGGGCTGGTACAAGGAGTACTCTCCTTGCCTTCAGGTCGCTGAAGGCATTGCATGCCACACACCTGGATTCCACGGGGTCACGGACCCTCGGGCACCCGGCGCTCACATGCTGGGTCTACCCCGGGCACCATCAGGGACCTGACTTGCAACCTGACCCACAGCTGCCTTCCCAGTGCTTACATGCTGGGGAAGGTAAGGAAGAGATTCTTCCTTGGCATTTGGAGTCTTCTCTGAGTGCCAGAAAAGCTAACTTCCACGGACCCATCCCCAAGAATGTGACCTTCAGCTGGGGTGCCGATGAGTGGACAGCTAGCAAACAGCAGACCGGCATAGCACAGGACCGGGAAGAAAGCGGGGGCTTCAGGAGGGTGAGGGATACAGTGGGCTGTGGGGATCCCCGGGGACTGGGACAGGCTGTGACGCCACTGAGACAGGAAGCGGGGCTGACTGTTCCCAAGATCATCTGGAACAAACCATTCAGCCCGAATGGGAAGCCACCCAGCTCCTCTCCAGCTGCAAACATCAGTCCCTAGGAGGTGAGCTCTTCCAGAAGGTTCTCAAGTGCCCCGCCCACAGCCACCATGGACCACTCCAAAGCCCTCACCCTGACACCATGAACGTTTCCAATATCATCATGGACGTCCTTCCATTCAGTCTTTCCTTGAAAGCCTTTGGGAGCTCCAACACACACGGGGCAAAGCTCCAAACCCTAAACTCCAGGGAGGATCCTACCAGTAGGGCTCCTCGTGCCCGCCCAGCGTGGGCACCCACTCTGCACGGTGCCTCCACACCTGCCCGGCAACCTCTTCCAACAAGTCACCACCATCCCTCCATGGCTCCCACTGCTGGCGCCATCCTTCCATGGCTCCCACTGCTGGTGCCTGGCGTGCCAAGGGGACAGAGCTGTGACCGACTCAGAGTCAGTCTCCCAGCTGCTAGTCCCGCAGCTCCCATAGGACTGCTCGCTAATGCTGCACAGCACACCTGGTGCCGGGGGGGACAGACAGGTGACTCACAGTGAAGTCTGCATGGTGTGGGGCATCAGGCTAAGACTGTGACAGTGATGGCAGGTGACGGGGGCTCCTGGGCCTGTGTCCACCCAGAGCGGAGATGTGTGGGCCATGGGGGCGGCCTGTGAAACGTTGTTTCCAGCTGTTGGCAAGAGATGGGCCCAGCAGCTTCTAAGGAGGAGATGCCAAACCCAGGGCTCCCAGCAGGAGGGGGCAGGGCAGCACGGCAGGAAGCAGCCAAGGACACACTGCTGCCCGTCCTGGTGGGCGGCTAGGGTGTGCCAGACACAAGGTCCCTATCACGGCCACAGGGCCCCAGGGCCCCGGACATCCGCCAGGACTGCCTGGACCTAAGTTCTGGGATGGTGGTTGAGAGTGTGAGAAAGGCAGGAGCTCTGATGCCAACAAGCTGCTTCACTGGCAAACCTCCAGGCATCTTTTCTCATGTCCCCAAGTTCACGCGAGTTCAGTCTGCAGATGAGCTCGCTGCAAAAGAGGAAGGCGCTGTGCTTCACAGCTGGCCCGGGCGACCAGAGGACCTGGGTGTGCATGTAACACATCTATGACACATCTGTGGCACAGCAGGGTTACAGCTAGTCACCACAGCCCAGACAACCAGAGGACCCAGGTCCACACACATGTAACATGTCTGTGACATCAGCAGGAGCTGGCATAAGTCCCTTCAGTACACATTAAGTTTGCATTTCCAAATGAGCAACCAAAAACTGCTGAGGCCCGTGTAAATGAGTGTCACATGACATAAAACATCTGGGCTGGCCTTCATTCGGCACCACTGGGGATCAAGCTTTGGAGAGAGGGGTGGGGACGGCTCAGAAGTTCTTAAATGTGCTCCATGATCTGATCTCAGGAAAAACAGCACACGTCAACTGCGACTAAAAACACAAAGGCAAAGTATATGCAGCCACACCACACTGAACTGAGCATGCCACCCGTGTGGGTGCAATTTCCACCCGGAGGCCCCAGTCACCTGCTCGCAGCCCTGGGTGGCAAAGGGGGCCAGCTGGCGCGGCAGGTGGGAGGTGATTTCACTGTAACTTTTTCACTTGTATACAACCATCATTTGTATATATCCTGTGCCCGGCTGCATCAGAGGGCACGGACAGCCAGTCTCAGGTGGGAAGATCTGCTCATTACCTGCGATTCAGAAAACCTGGGCTTCAAGGCATGCACAGCGAACACAGCCACCTGGGCGCTGGGAGGAAGGGTCCCGCAGAAATGAATGAATGGCGAGCAAAGCTGGGCCACCCGGGGTCCCCGCTCCGCTCCTCGAGGCCCCAAGACCCGGGAGTCGCCCGGCGTCTGGGACTTTGGAGTCGGCGGCTCGGATAAGAAAGGAAGGAAGCCCACGCCCAGCAATCAAGTTAGTCCTGCAGTTACGGGAGAATTGCGAGCGCCACAGCTGCAGCCGCTAAGGGCGGACGCCGACCCAGCCTGCGGGACTGGCCGGCGAGAGGAGCACACGGAATCCGCTCAGGGCGTCAGGGAGCGGCCCGAGCGGCGCCGTGGCCAGGGGAGCCCCGGGGGCCGGCCCGGCGCGCGCCGCCCTCTCCCTTCCCAGCCTCCCGCTCCTTTTGTTCGCGTTTCCACTCCGCACGGCAGCCCCTCGGCCGGGCGCTGGTTCACACCCAGTCCTGCCCGGGCCGCTCCCCAGCCCGCAGGAGGTGCCCGCGCCCGTCCACCTGCGCGCGGGGTGCCCGGGGCCGCGCCTTCCCCGCACCAACTCGGGCGCACAGCTGCTCCGAGGCCGGGCTCGCCCGCGTGCTCAGACGGGCGGGGAGCCGCCACTCACCGATTTCGCCGTCGTCTTCGTCCTCCTCCTCCTGCTCCAGGTCCAGAAGGACGTTCCTGGTCATCATCGGCATGGCTCCCGCAGATGCCGAGCCGAACTTGGCGCGAAGTTGGGCTCGCGGGTTCCGGAAGGAGGCGGCGGGCGGGGCCGGGCCGGGGGCGGGCGGGGGCCGGGCCGGGGGCGGGCGGGCGCGGGGCCGGGGCGGGGGTTCCCGGGCCGGTGTGGGTCCCGCCCGGCGGCTCAGCCCAGCCCAGCGCGCCCCGGGCGGCGGCGGCCACTGAGCATGCCCAGTGCGGCGGGCGCGCCGCGGCCCCGGAGCCTCCGCTGCGCAGGGAGGAAGTGGGGCTGCGCGCCGGCCGCCGAGCATGCGGCCCGGACCCGCGCGCACGCGAGCTCTGGGCTCCGGCTCTCCGGAGGTGGTGCCCCAACTCCGTCCTGAAGAAGCCGGGAGCGCGCTGGGGCCACGGGGCCCAGAGACACCGCAGTGGGGAGTGCGCCCGCGGCTGCAGAGCTGCAGCTGCCGGGGCTTGGGATCCGTGGGCTCCTTGGGCCAGGCCAGAGGCCCGCCCGGGGCGGGGAAGGGAAGCCCCCCGGGAAGTGAGGCTAGGGCTGAGTGGGGCCCGCCCGACTGGTGCGCAGGGAGTTGGACTCTGAAGCCCCTGGCTGCGCGAACCGCAGGCTGCATAGAGGGGCGCACAGCATATCCTCGAGACGCCGGTCTCACTGGACCCCTGCCCAGGGCTGGGGGCGTGAGCAGACCCCTGGGGTCCCTTCGCAGTCACCCCAGAGGGAATGTTCTCTTGGGAAACAAAGCATTGAGACCAAACTCAATGGGAAAACTGGCTCTGACTGATGTGATGCGGAGCGCCCAGCTGGTGGCTTAGCAGGCTAACCCTCCGCTTTAGGTGTCAGCATCCCATGTGGCTGCTGGTTTGTGCCCCAGTAAATCAATGATCCAGACCTGGAAAAGTAGCAGAGGGTGACAAGTCCTTAGGTCCCCCACGTGGAAGGAACTAGCTCCTAATCAGCTCAGCTCTGGCCATTGCAGCCATTTCTGTCTATAAATCTGCCTTCCAAATAAAAAATAAGTAATATATATACATACACATTTTTAAAGACGTGGTGGCTCTGTGGTAGGAAAACAGGCAGGAAACACTGCTGGCTTCCTGCGAGTCCTTTTGGATACAGAAAACTGGGATTTAAAGGGGAGAGAGCACAGCACTCAGAGGGAGCGAGAAAGAAACGGGGACCCCCACTCCCAGACTCCTGGCCCTGAGCTGGTTTGCCCCACGGGAGCGGAAAGTGTCGGTTCCACAGTCTTCGCCAGGAAGGGGCTTTGTCCACACACGCACTGCGTGTCCTGCTCATGGTTTAGCCCCGTTTCCGCCGCAGCGGTTGGTCACCACCCCTTTTCCCAGGCACGAGGTCCAGCAGGAAGCTGTCCAGGGCCGCTGGGGAAGCAAGCGGCTGGGAGGCAGTCCCCGCAGCTCGTCCTAGGGCCTGCTGAACTGACTCCAGGAACATTTCCAAATCCTTTTTCCTCCAGTGCCAAACTCCCAACGCCTTGCTTGCTCCCTGTAAACTGTTCCTTTTTTTCATGGCCAGAGACTGTTTAAACTCCAGTCGCCATTTGAAGATTCCTCTGGATGGTTTTGCAACAGAGCTGAGTCACTTGGAGGCCGTCACACGGCAGTTTACACTTCTTCTGCTTGATAAATGTGGCGGACACAATGCCTGCCTTATAAGTAGAGGGGCCTGCAGGGAGGGAAATGAGTGGCTTACTCCAGCTAACGTGAGCCTATTATTAGTAAATATCCCTTTCTTTCTGTTCACCCATTTCATTTCCCAGCTCTCCTCACGTGTTCCTTTTGTTAATGGAGGTAATGGGACTGTATCAGAGCCACGCCCTCAGCCCTGGATGTTATCATCCGTAGGTGAACAGCTTGTGAGATAAAATGTTTACAAAGACTTGAGGTCGGGGTATTTGTGCTTGCGCAGTCTTTCCACGGCATGTGAGTACTGCCCTTCAGCCCTGAGGAGGCCCTTTCTCTGCAGCCCGCCGTGGGCCTCTCCCCCAGGAACCTGTACCTTCATGACCCGTGCAGAGTCTGCTTCCGGACTTCATCCAGAGGCCCGTTCTCAAGGGGCTCTCATGCCCTGTGCCAGCTGTTCTAAAATTCAGCACCCTGTTACCGTGTGTCAGTACCGTCTGCGGGGAGAGTGGAGCGGGGCTGAGCTGCGCAGTTCTCCTCCCACCCCACGCTGCTTCCCTAGCTCCGGCTCCTGGCACCGCACACAGCAGCAGCTCCCTGCCCTGGCCTGCCAGGGCTTCCATGTACCCAGCGGACTTGTTAGCCAGCGAGAGGCCCACCATGGCTTAGGCAGGTGTGTCCTGCCACTGAAGTTGCAGTCTGCTGGAGGCTGTCCACTGTGGGTTGCAGTGGCAAGCCAGTGGGAGGGAGAGAGCTGGCTCCTCTCCTAGCTGGGCTGTGTGGATCAGGCTGAGAGCTGTGGACAGGGGCCTCTTGTGTTTGAACAGGGACTCCTGAACATTCACTTCGCACGGCCCTGGAAATTGCATAGCTGGCCCAAATTCCAATCCTTACTTGCAGCCCAGAGAGGTCTTCTGCGTTACACATGGTGTATTTGCCTACAGGCCTGGTATCTCACCTTGCACATTGGTTAGATGCTTCAAGTTTGGCAACTCCAGATCCAAACGCCTAATCTGTGCGTTGCAATCTGCCTCCCTGGGCGGGGGAGGGGAGACGGAAATCTAGTTGCAGCAGCCAATCATCAGAGTGTCGTTTCAACTCCTTCCTCTCTCTGTCATCTTACAGTCCAGTAGGCAGTGAACAACACGCAGTTGTTATCTGTAGCTGCATAGCACAGGAGCAAAAACCTGACACATGCCAGGGAGTGAGACTGGTCATTGTGCAGGAGACCGCAGTTCCATGGACCGACAGAGTTGCAAGGAGAATCCACAAGGAGGCTGTGGTGACTGAGAAATGACAGGGCACTCCCAGGGTCAACAGCCTGAGCAGGAGCAAGCACGCATGACGTCACACAGCTCCCCTGCACCTGCCTGGAGGACTGCTCCCAGTAACACTGGAGGACCTTTGCTCACACAGGAGGACCATTGCTCACACTGGAGGACCGCTCCTGCTCACACTGGAGGACCGCTCCTGCTCACACTGGAGGCATCCACTTGGTGTTGGCACAGGGCGGTAAAGAGCCCTGGGAATGTCGGAGCTGGCCCAAGAGGTCTGTTGTGCCACAAGAATATCGCTGCCAGATGCGATGCCTGGCATGTGGCGAGGCATCCTTTTCCTCCCCAGGTATTGCTGGAAAGAGCAGGGCATGGAGAGCTCCGCTGGAGAGGGATCTTGCAGGGGTGGGTGAGGAACAGGGTGTGCAGTGTGTTGTCGCCATGAGCACAGCAGATCCTGCCAGTGTCCTCCTAACCGGAGAGGGTGTCCTGCAGCCCAGCCGTGCTCCTCTGCATTTGTGTGAGCTCGGCTTTTCCAGATTCCACGGGAGGCTGGGGTCACGTGGCCTGTCTCTGCCTGGTGTATCCATGATGCCACCAGCAAGGCCTCCCCCTTCTGCAGCAGACTGAACACTGTTCACCCCCGTGTCACCTCCACCCACTCATCCACTGTCAGACAGTCGGGGAACTCTATCTCGGCCTTTGTGAGGAGGCTGCGGTGAGCATGGTCCTCCATGGGTGAGGGTATATTCCGTGGGTGAGGGCACAGTTGTAGGGCTCCTGGGACAGGTGGCAGCTCTGCACCTGGGCTTTTGGGGGCACCCCCCACAATGATTTCCACATCCTCTCCAACACCCATCTTCCTTAACAACCTTTTGCCTTTCCTATGGATGAGTGATTTGGGAGTATCATTTATCTGTCTATCACTTGTGTAACTTCTTTGGAGGAATTCCTATTTTTTTTTAAAGATTTATTTATTTTTTTATTACAAAGTCAGATATACAGAGAGGAAGATCTTCCGTCCGATGATCCACACCCCAAGTGAGCGCAACGGCTGATGCTATGCCAATCTGAAGCCAGGAGCCTCTTCCGGGTCTCCCAAGCAGGTACAGGGTCCCAAGGCTTTGGGCCGTCCTCGACTGCTTTCCCAGGCCACAGGCAGGGAGCTGGATGGGAAGTGGAGCTGCTGGGATTCGAACCGGCACCCAAATGGGATCCCGGAGCATTCAAGGAGAGGACTTTAGCTGCTAGGCCACGGTGCCGGGCCCAGGAATTCCTATTTTTAATCAGAGTTCTTTTCTTACTGTTGAGTTGTTACATGTTTTTCATCTGAACCCCTTATCAGTTTGTGGCTTTCTGAATTGCCCCTCCCACTCCCGTCTGCAGGTTCTCCTGCTGATCGCTCCCTTAGTTGTGGAGAAGACTTGTTTGCTTAAGCCCATTTTAAACATTTGCTTTTGCTGCCTTTGCTTTGTGCTCATATCCGAAAAATACTCTGCTCAGAGCAGCACCGAGAGCTTTCCCCGCTGGGATGTCTTCTCATCATTTTAGCTTTCGGGAAGTCTTTGCTCCATTTGTTTTTCTTTAAAGGTTCTTTTGTTTGTGTCTTTGAAAAGCAAAGAGGAATATGGAGGGAAGGCAAAGGGAGAGAAAGAAAAGCACCCTGCATTCACTGGCTCACTCCTCCAAACGGCCACGACAGCCAGGGCTGAGCCAGGCTGCAGCCAGAAGCCCAGAACACATCCCAGGTAGTCGGCAGGGGCCCAAGCAGGTGGGCCAGCCTCCACTACCTTCCCAGGTGTGTCAGCGGAGAGCTGGGGCTGGAGCGGAGTGGGAGAGCCAGGGCTGGAGCGGAGTGGGAGAGCCGGGGCTGAAGCGGAGTCGTTGGGGCTTAGAATGGCATTCTCATGTGGAATGAGGGCATTACAAGCTGCTGTTTAACACACTGTGCCACTGAGGTGGTTCGGAGGGTGCTTGTGTGTGGTGACAAACCAGATGCTCATGTCCCCTGTACGTGTGACTGGCGGCACCCGTCACTCTTTGTATCCCATCGTGTGCGCTCGGCCCCTTTGTGGAAGAGCAATTGGCCAGAAACGCCTGGATTATGGCTAGGCTCTGCTGCTCTGTTCTGTGGGTGAGTGTTCAGACTGCAGAAGGAACAGGATCGTCA